CAATAACCCGGTATTGGTATTTATTAAATTTCCACTGTTTCAATCAAACAGAATGATTGACATATTAGTTAGTTGTCAAATCTAATCTCAAAAAAAACGTTTGTATGGGAAATAGAAAAGGGCTGTTTTTATGGTTTTCCCAGTAATGAATCAATTTTTTTCAGCTTTTATACCTTCCCTGAACCTCCACGAACATTTCACGACTAAGATAAGATAAATCCGTTCAGCTGTTCTCGAGTTTTAGCGAGACTAAGGAACAGCAATCCATTTTTATATATATAGAAGATTACTTGTTTTTTTATACCTATAAACAACGAATTTAAACTTTACGTATCAGGATATAAGAGTCAGATTTTAGGTAAGCCAGCTTCACATGAAAAAAATCCATGTTCATTATAAATGTTTATACTTTTTAAAAATGTATTAACTATATTAAAAATTCTATTAATATTGAATCCATAGATTACAAAACGCAAGTACGATCATGAAACGAAAAATATTTTTTACGGAATCAATCGTAAAATACAAATTACGGATAACTTTATATCAAATCCGTAAACATTGTTACCCATATACAGTTCCTTGTTTAAAAACGCTTGAAAAATATTTATTATGACGTCACCGTTTCCATGGTAACGGTTTCGGGATCAACTTTAATGAGATCCCATAAATTAGAATACCTTATCTCAAGATGCATGGTAAGAGCTCTTACATAGAAACTTCCATTTTCTAAACTTCATCGAATATTCTAGAAAGAATATTTAGAAGATTTATTCCTTCATATGTTAGAATTGTTGAAATAAATTCAATAATTCATAGAATTATATAAGTAATTGAATTATTTATAAAGGGAATTAAATCACGTTATTATTAATTAAATCGTAATAGTTATTTTAATATATCATCTATTATAACATATATGACTTTTTTTTCAATTCTGGTTTTATACTATACAGACAAAATAGTTTTATTTATCTAATTAAATTTATAAATAGTATTTTCTAATTTAATTACAATAATTTTTATACAGGGTGACTGGTGAATTACTATCGATATTTGAGGACGTGATATTTGACGATCATATATGACAAAATAAAAATTAATATAACATAAATATTAATAAACTTCTAAGTAAAGTTAACCAAAAGTTATGTTATTAATTACGCATCGTATGAACACCCTACAGATTAGGTATACACACACTCACACATACGCGCGCGGCGGCGTGGTGTTGTATCAGCACGCCGCCGCACGCGTCCACACTTGGAACACTTGGAACGTGTACACACTTTATTTATTTATACGGAAATTTGGTCAAAAATTAAGTACCTATTTTTTTTACATAATTCGAATGAGAATCATGTACCGAGTATGCTCCTTAAATATTGATAGTAATTCACCAGTCACCCTGTATAATATGATAAAATATATTGACTTTACAAAGGCTTAAAATGTTGATGCCATTAAACCTTTGCGGTTTTTGCTACACACTTTTAAATGCATTTATCGATAAAGTACCACTGATGTACTGTGGTTTAAAGGTTTCAGTACATCATTGTTTTAAATGTTTATTAATAAATTATAAACAAAGTTATTTTTAATCTTAAAATATAAAATACTGATTTAAAATAACAAAAGTAATAATAATAATAATCATAAATAATTCGCCAAAATATATCCCATTTTGGCGCCATTTTATGATTATTATTATATTTTCAGTCTAACGTTAACCTGACCCTTTAATAAAAGACTGACTTTAAAATAAATGACAGAACTAATAATAATAATTTAGACATCACTGATTAATCTGATTCCCAAAAAAAGAGGGTTGATGTCAGGCAGGCGGCCGGTCGTAAAACAATTAGCCTAAACTATTCACAACATGTAAGGCAGACCCTGGCTAAAGCTGGGAACTTGCCAGGTAGAAGAATAATAATAATCATAAAAAAGACCCCAAGATGGGATATTTAATTCTCACGTTAACCTGTTTCCCGGCTTACGAGAGTTTGATACTTTTCGTGTCCCAAATATAATATATAATTCCTGCTAACCCCCAACCCCCAAACTATACCTAAAGTGGGTCGCGACCCACATAGCACTTAGACAATCATGACTTTGAGGGTTGACATTAAAATCATAAATAAATTAAATTCTGTTACAATGTTAAGCATTTTGTTTATAAACTTACAGCCCTAATAAGGTTTATTATATTACTTACTTGTGGTTTCTTTACTTTTCTGAGTAATATTTGGCACATATATATATATATATATGTATATACATTACCTATTACAAATCATAGACATTTTAAGTAAATAAGAATAAATTATAAACTAATATACAAAAAAATATTTCTATTCCCCTAACAGATAATAATTATTTTCTTTCAAATAAAACAAGTTATTCCAAATTCAAATTGGGTTAAAATTTTTATATAAATTCATATTTTATCTAATTTCCTTGTACATTTAGATAAATACTCCCAAAAAGAAAAGCTAATACCATAACAATTATCAAAAAATCATTTTATAATTAATCACTGAACACAAAATTATGGTTTAATATTTGAAGTCTATTAAATACATAAGTATTTTAATCTTTTGACATTGACATATATGACACATATTTTTCAAGCAATAGAAAATCTATTTCAGAACGTGCTTTATCTGAAACAGAGATTCGCAAATGTATGAAAAAAATTAAGAAGTAAATAATATGAATTATATACATTTGAGACTTTAAGAAAAAACTCTTTTTAGATTGAAGTAAAGGTAATTTTTCAGTTTTGTAATTAATAATAAAACAATGTATTAAAATATAGATATTATATTTGTTGAGTAAATATATGAAAGTTAATAAAACTTATATACATATGTAGAAAATATTATTTATTAATTATAAACATCAATACTTTAAAATTAAATATTAACTTATTGCCAATAACTAAAAGATTGCCTTTTCTGTTGTGTTACGTCTCAAATACTTTATTAAAATTAAATAAAAAAAAAATTATATATATTTTCTAAACAAAACATTATAATTTCATTAATATAATTCGACATTAAATAACTTTAACTTTTATCAACTTGAAAGGTGTAATGATATTAAACAATACTCTAAGGAGAGGTCGTACAAAAATATTTTTTCTTTAAAATAGAAAATAAACAAAAAGAAACGAAGGGACGATGGAATGAAAATGTTGGGAAAATTTCGTTTGAAACACAAAAGAGGTTTAACATAGATGTTAACCTTCTTTATTTTTAATCATCATTATTTTTTTTCTTTATTAATAAAATATTATTATTATTAAATGTTTATGTATTTATTGTTATTGTAATTATATTTTTATTTGTTTGTTAAAAGAATATAACTTATTAGTAGCAAATGACACGAAATAACCTATTTTACTTTCTTTACGAAAATTTTATATAAAAGCGTTAGTTTTGAAATGTAAAAATTTTAAAACCTAACAAATAAATTATGTATGACAAGTAGCTTTCTCGATGGCCGTTCGGACCTGAATTAAAATTGAGGACGCATTCACAATAAGTAATGCAGCCGTGGGTCACGGGATTTTGACCCTTTTATGTTGAAGCTGTTACCCATTTATATTCATGGAAATGTATATATTCTATAAAGGTTAGATTAGGTTGTATAATATTTAAAACGTTTCATAATCTTGCTCTCTGACTGAGGAGTAAATCGTATGTCTTTGTTATTATGTACCCTTAATACGAACTTATGACGTTTAACTCAATACGTACAGTTTCGCGTATCTGTCACATACAAACAGTGCTATCGTATGTAAAGAATTATGAATGAAAATCATTAATATTTCAATTGTAAACTCTATTGTTTGATAATAAAGTTCATAGAAGAACAGCAAAAATTTTGTAAGGCTTACGTTGTAAATTCTCTTTATATATTAAATGTAATTATTTCCTACATAATTTTATCAATATTATCAGAATTTATTTGGTTTTTAGATCCTTCTACTACTTACTATGTAGGAATCTCACGAAAAGTATTTTCTCTCATACTAAAGACCATCAAAGCATTGAGATATACTTTATTCAAATATGCATTTGCATTGAATCTTTCTTTTACATTTTAGATCGGTATTGACTTTAGGGATTTTCTATTTTCTATTCGGTGAGATGAAGGTCTAATAATAAGTTACTCAGATCAACTTTAGCGACCTGTATAGTTTTTTTCCTTTGGTAGTTTATCTCTGTTAGTGATTTCTAAAACAGCACATATAACTATGTGATGTTTTTATTCCAAATAATATAGTTTTCGAAATATATCATAGTTTCTATACTATAAAAAATGTCTGCTACAATTCCTAAGTAAATAATTATGAGAGATCGGTTTTTACATCTAATTGAAATATAACAGTAATATTTATCAAATATATGATTAATATCTGTCATATGTCTATTTAAAACTAAATATCATTTTCGTATTTTATATAACAAAGGTCTCACTATTCATTGATTTATCAAAGCGTTTATATTTAATTGAAAAATATCTTAAAATATATTGAATTTGAATATTTTTTTAAACCAGATAATATTTGTATATACTGATAAATTTATGTTTACATAAAGTGAAGTGAAATTCAAAAAAACGTCGAAGTGAGTTTATCAAGACGGCGGCCATATTGGAATACGTACAGAAGAAAAACGCGAAAATCAAACATTGTTTACAGTGGACAGTATGGACTTTAAAGTGCAAGCAAATATGAACTTTATTAACTGTATATAAAGTACATGTCAGCAAGTTAATATTAATGTGGATTCAAATATAAAATACGGTAGCGAACACGGATTGCATGAGCTATAATAGTGTAAAGGATAATGGACTTTATGTAGTGTAAATACAAACGATTTCAGTTCATCATAAATACTGAATCTTCAAACATAGTATACTGGGCAACACGGTGTGAAAAAGTAATATTATTGCATAGAAAAATGGACCTTATTTAATGGTGGTGTGAGTTCAAATCGGCAAGTTGACTCACCCGTGTGCGGAGTGCGCGCGGCGGGCGGCGCGTGCGCGGGCGTCGCTACGCGATCTAGAACCATGCTCTGACCGTGTCATGGAGACGATCTCTGAAGATGCTGAGGCTGAATTGGAACTTGGTAATTAAAAACATATACAGGGTGACTGGTGAATTACTATCGATATTTGAGGACGTGATATTTGACGATCATATATAACAAAATAAAAATTAATATAACATAAATATTAATACACTTCTAAGTAAAGTTAACCAAAAGTTATGTAATTAATTACGCATCGTGTGAACACCCTACAGATTAGGTATACACTGACACTCACACATACGCATGTCGTGACGTGGTGTTGTATCAGCACGCCGCCGCACGCGTCCACACTTGAACACTTGGAACGTGTCAACACTTTACTTATTTATACGGAAATTTTGTCAAAAATTAAGTGCCTATTTTTTTTACATAATTCGAATGAGAATCATGTACCGAGTATGCTCCTTAAATATTGATAGTAATTCACCAGTCACCCTGTATATACAACTAGTATTTGTCCGCGACTTCGTCTGATTTAGTTTCAGAATTGGAAATGTATAGCTAACTGAACGAACTCTTTTCATCCTTGAAGACAGTAGATAGGAGGATTTTGGATTTGATCAACTTATTATTTTTCGCATTTAATCAGATGAAAAGTATCCTACGTCCTTTCTCTTGTTCTAAGCTATCTCTCCACCAATCTTCAAATCGGTACAGTCGTTCTTGAGTTATAAATAGTGTAACTAACACAACATTCTTTTATATATATTTATAGTCGAAATTATAAGTCGAAATATAAGCTAACGAAAATAGTAAATATAGACCCTTCATTTTTAAAGTCGGCTAAAAGTAAAAACATACATTTAAATGTATGTATGTCTTATAGTGTTCGTTAAACATATGAAGGCGTGAACATTTTATTTCCAATATAAAGCATATATTTTTAATATTTGTATTAAGAAGAAAAATTTAAAATATGTAAAGGAACGTTATTATTATTAATTAATGTATGAAAGTATTAACTTATATTACTTTAAAAAATAAAAATTAATTTGATAGTTTTGACAATTCCAAAGTAATTCAATTGTCATCATTGAAATGGTTCCCGTTTATGTGCATTTTAAGACAAATCCGAATCCGTCTAGACGGTCACATTTATGTAATGCCAGAATTAAAACATTCCAGCAACACATACTTTGATGTACCGAAAAAGTTTAATCTAAAAATATACGGTCAACGACATTACGTTTTACAAGAACGTGCACTTGAAAGGTGAATCAAATGTACTTGTATGAAGAAAAAACATTAATTAAATTAGAATAATTTCGATTATTATCATTAAAGATTTAAATGAAACTAATATTTTCGGATTTTACTTCGCGTTTTTATTTTTGACTAGTTTTTGCCCGCGACTTCGTCCGCGTTAGTTTGGTCAAGAGTATTTCAAGACTAAAATTAGCCAAATCGGTTCAGCCGTTCTCGAGTTTCGGCTACTTTTCAGGGCCCGTGATCACGGTTGGAAAATATTAGTTTCATTTAAATGAGTACTCGCGAAAATCTTAGATCTTATTATATCATTAAAGATTCTGATACAGACGGAAGATCAAAAAATATTACCAGTAATAGTACTAGTAAAATGTGATTTTTACGAGTCATATGTACTTTCTAAGAGTATTTAGACAACACTGATAGATGAAGGAGAACATCGTGAGGAAACCTGGACTTATAATTTCATAATTATAAGTTTGAAATCACCAACCCGTCTTGAGCAAGCGTGGTGATTAATACTCAAACCTTCTTCATGTGAGAAGAGGCTATGCTCAGCAGTGGGCTCCGATAGGCTGATGACGAAAAAATATTTTTGACAAAACTTTCATAAAATTTTATGTAATTTAACGTAATGTTAATTGTATATTTTTAGATAAAACTTTTTCGGTATATCAAAGTATATGTTGCTGGAATGTTTTAATTCTGGCATTACATAAATATAACTCTCTAGACGGATTCGGATTTGTCTTAAAAGGCACATAAACGGGAACCATTATAAGTAAAAAAAAATAACTTAAATATTTAACCTCAACTTATACAATATATTAATTTTCATTATAAGAACTCTAATTAAAATAAATGGGCGCTAACAAAGCTGTAACATTAACCAAAGGATGTATTATTTAACTTTTTGTATCTGCTCTTAATACAAACAATTAAAACTTATAATGACCAAGAAAATAAGTTGAGAAACTCAACCCTGGAAATAAAGCGTCCGTTTTAAATTACTTGTTTGAAAACCTTATATATATGTATTATACTGTTTTTTTGCTATATTCGATCTCTATTTAGTAAGAGAAAAGAGTTATATTGAAAATTATAATCATATATTATTTACAATAGGAATTAATTTTAATTTACTTTATGGGATTGCTTTGTATAAAAAATGCAAAATTTCTGATATAAGAATGATGTGGATTAGGGTTGATAGTTTAAAGAAAAAATGTTACATATATGACACCCCTGAATAAATCATTATTATAATTTTTATAATAACATATTCTTGCGTATTTATTTTTCTTGTTGATTCTTTTACAAAGACTAATAGAATTGAGATAATCCTAATTTCATTCACTTTCTTGATGTTTTATTTTGCTAAAGACAAAAGTAGTGGAAAATTTATAAAGATAAATAAATATAATAATCTTTGTTTACTAATCTTGTCACTTAAATGTAATGAATACTTCAAAATGTATATATTTTAGAGAGAGACTGAAAAAAAAGTATTTACGAAGCATAGAATAAGGAAGGTTCAATTGGTATGTTTTTAACAATTACTTTTGTGTGTTACAGTTTTTAGCCTTTTTGTAAATTTTATTAATTACAAATAGATTTTTGTATTCTAATCAGTATTGAAATATAACTAAGATTTTTGGATACGACAAGTTTTTTTTATTATATTTTAACAAACTCGTAGTATGTATTCAAAAAACATAGTTTCTTTAAAATGAGCAATCTCGAAGTGATTTTCAGTATTAAAAAATACTCTTCAGCTTCATAGTACATACTATAGATATAATTATAATTTAATATTTATTATTTTAAGTAGTTTATTCATAGATTAATTATTTCAATTGGACAATGTCATCCAAGCAATTATATAGAATATTGTTAACAAGCTCTTATTAGCGACCTCGTGCATTTCAATCAACGCTAAGGTTATAGTTTGCTTTAAATAAATTGATCTTAATTTCGATGATTTTGTGTGAAAGAGAGAGAAGTAGAGCAAGAAAGAGACAAAAGATTTACAAAGATCTCATATAAAATTATTTCAAAAAATAAACAAAGCTAAAATAACAAATTTGTATTAAAAGTCGTATATAAAATATGTACTGAAACTATGTTAAACGTTTTTCGTACTCGTGACCCCCAAAATATGTTTCTTCATTTCCTTTTGTACTAAATCATGTGAGCTATTAGCATTTCATATGTAATTTTCTTTAACATGGTGAGCAGGAATTATTACATTTTCTATAGGTAACTCATATAAGAATTTATTTACATAAACTTTTCTTTAAAAGTAACATCTGAATAATTGATAAATATTATCTGCGGGGTTAACGACCTTCTCGTTACGAGATGTATCTCAATGAAGAAAGTAAAATAGGTCAAAGGTTTTGAATTATTTAGCTTTGAAAAAAATTTATATGAAAGAAGTTTTTATTAGTAACAATAGTTTTATAATTTTGTCATTACTTCATTGTTTAATTAATTCATATCTAGGTTTTTGATTGTGATTATAATCATTTTATTGGTTTACTCTTAAAAAATCCAAATTCTCCGAGTAAATTTAATGAAATTCTCCATAATAATTTGTAGAAAACTGTATTGTGACTTACATTCGGCAACACAGATAGTCTTTTAAAATAGATATATGTCTGCTGTCGAGTGGTTTGTGCTGTCGTTTATAAAAGTCAAGAGCTAATATTTTGGCAAGGATTTCAACTTAGAAATGTTTGTTTACGTATAACATTTTTGACATATCTGAAGTAATATACAGGGTGACTGGTGAATTACTATCGATACTTGAGGACGTGATATTTGACGATCATATATGACAAAATAAAAATTAAAATAACATAAATATTAATAAACTTCTAAGTAAAGTTAACCAAAAGTTATGTAATTAATTACGCATCGTGTGAACACCCTACAGATTAGGTATACACACACAGACACGCGTGCGGCGGCGTGGTGTTGTATCAGCACGCCGCCGCACGCGTCCACACTTGAAACACTTGGAACGTGTCCACACTTTATTTATTTATACGAAAATTTGGTCAAAAATTAAGTACCTATGTTTTTTACATAATTCGAATGAGAATCATGTACCAAGTATTCTCCTTAAATATTGATGGTAATTCACCAGTCACCCTGTATAGAAAATGTATTTATTCTAAATAATGAAATATTTGACGAATATCTTAAACTTTGATAAATTATGAGAGTAATACATAAATTGTGGATTCTTTTCGTTTTATATGCGAGTAATAAAAATGCTTTTTTTAATATCATTTTCCAACAATGGCGTCATCTTAACTACTTAATATTTCTACTGGTACTTGATACTACTTAGTGATACTTGGTTCAGTATCAAATGTCATATTCCCTGGGAAATTTTCCCAGCCATTGTATTCTTGATTGATGCAATCTCATTGGGTCAAGCACACTCGTTCATATGGACCTGATCGGCGATATGGCATGAACATCTAGGTGTCTTGACATAAAACTTATCGAAAAAGGTTCTATGAAGAGGAAATGTAAATCAAAAATTCTTTTGGCATGAATATGGTATAAAATTTCGTTGATAATTTAAATCTACATCTGAATCCTTCATCAACGAATAAAGTGTAAACTATATTACGAGTTCAAACAAACTCAAAGTCAGCAATCCAATAATTATCTAATATATAAAATTCTCGTGTCACAGTTTTCGTGCCCATACTCCTCCGAAACAACCTGAGCGATTTTGATGAAATTTTTTGTGCTTATTCGGTAGCTATGAGAATCGGCCAACATCTATTTTTCATCCCCCTAAATGTTAGGGG